GATTTCTGTCCACCCTCTCTCTCTCTCTTTTTTTTTTTTCATGATTTTAATGTTTTATTTATTAATTTAAAATCGTTTTTCCTTTTTTTAAAATTATACTTTAATTTCTGGGGTACACGTGCAGATCTTGCAGGATTGTTACATAGGTATACACATGCCATGGTGGTTTGCTGTCTCTATTCCCCCATCCATACCCCCATTAGGTATTTCTCTCAATGTTATCCCTCCCCAATCTCCCCACCCCCTGCTATCCCTACCCAGCCCCCCACTCCCCATCTGACCTCATTGTGTGATGTTCCCCTCCCTGTGTCCATGTGTTCTCATTGTTCGACACTCACCTATGAATGAGAACATGCAATGTTTGGTTTTCTGTTCTTGCATCAGTTTGCTGAGAATGATGGTTTCCAGATTCATCCATGTCCCTGCAAAGGACATGAACTCATCCTTTTTTATGGCTGCATGGTATTCCATGGTGTATATGTGCCACATTTTCTTTATCCAGTCTATCATTGATGGGCATTTGGGTTGGCTCTAGGTCTTTGCTATTGTGAACAGTGCTGCAGTGAACATATGTGTGCACGTGTCTTTATAATAGAATGATTTATAATCCTTTGGGTATATACCCAGTAACGGGATTGCTGGGTCAAATGGTATTTCTATTTCCAGATCCTTGAGGAATCGCCACACTGTCTTCCACAATGGTTGAATTAATTTATACTCCTCCCACCAATAGTGTAAAAGCATTTCTGTTTCTCTACATCATTTCCAGAATCTGTTGTCTCCAGATTTTTTAATGATTGCCATTCTAACTGGTGTTAGATGGTATCTCAATGTGGTTTTGATTTGCATTTCAATAAAAGCTATTACAACAAACCCACAGCCAATATCATACTGAATGGCAAAAACTGGAAGCATTCCCTTTGAAATCTGGCACTAGACAAGGGTGCCCTCTTTCACCATTCCTATTCAACATAGTATTGGAAGTTCTAGGCAGAGCAATCAGGCAAGAAAAAGAAAAGTATTCAATTAGGAAAAGAGGAAGTCAAATTGTCTCTATTTGCAGATGACCTGATTGTATATTTAGAAGACGCCATCGTCTCAGCCTAAAATCTTCTTAAGATGATAAGCAGCTTCAGCAAAGTCTCAGGATACAAAATTAATGTGCAAAAATCACAAGCTGTCCACTCTAACTCATCTCTTCACCAAAGACATAGTACTTGGCCAATTATAAAGACTAACAATGCAATTTGACTAAATGTAGCTTTTCACTGTGATTCCAGAGCCAGCTTTTAGACCAAATATGTACGCCATATGACCTTCCCTGACTCTGTGTTTATCAGTCCACTCAAATGTCTTTTTCTGTCTGAAGTCCATGTTCTGTCCCATACTGTAAGTTGCTGTAGTTTCCTAGGGCTGACAGAACAAATTACCGCAAACTAGATGGCTTCAAGCAACAGAAATGTATTATGTTACAGTTCTGGAGGCTGGGGTCTGAAATCAAGATGTTGGCAGGACCATCCTTCCTCTAAAGGCACCTTGTGGCTTCAGCAGTCCCTGGCATTCCTTGGTTTGTAGCTGCATCACACCAGTCATAGCCTTCTTACCCTTGTGTCTCTTGTCCCTTTGTATCCTGTTCTTTTCTTACATGTTTTCTCTTTTGTTTAGAAACAGGGTCTTACTCTGTCACCAAAGCTGGAGTGCAGTGGCATGATCATAACTCACTGCAACCTCAAACTCCTGGGCTCAGCAATCCTCCCTTCTCAGCCTCAGCCTCTTGAGTAGCTGCGGTTACTAGAGGTGCATGTCACCATGCTTGGCTACCTTTTCCATTTTTTGTAGAGATAGGGTCTCACCTCTCCTTCACTGGATTTAAGGCTGATACTAATCCAGTATGACCTCATCTTCACCTGAGTACATCTGGAAAGTCCCTGTTTCCAAAATCACATTCACAGTTACCAGGAGTTACGACTTGAATGTATCTTTTTGTGAGCCACAGTTCAACCCACTCCTATTATCTACTGCTGTGTAACAAATTACACTAAAATGTAGTGGTTAAAACAACAGAAATTTATGATCCTGGGTCAGGAATCTCAGTGCTGCTTAACTGGGTGCCTCTGCCTCAAGGTTACAGTCCAGCTGTGAACTGGAGCAGCAGTCTCATCTAATAGCTCTACTTGGGTGGGAGCATCTGCTTCCATGACCAGCCACTCGATTGGTTGATCTGGCAATTTTAACACGTTGATAGTCAAATTTCGAGGAAATGATTAACAGGAAAACTGAAGAGAAAGGTATCGGCTTCTTTGCTGGCACCTGGGGCAAAGTAAGGAAATGGAGGGACCATTTCCTTACTTTCTAATTGTTTTTTTCCCACCTGTTCCACTGACCATTGCCTAAGCCCGTGGGAGAGTTGGATGGAGGGGGCATAAGTAACTCTACTTAAAATCACAAGATCTCTTGGGTACTGTTAGGCTTTGTGTAGGGTGCAGATTGGTGGTCAGAGGCCAAATATAGCTTACAGTTGTGTTATGTTTAGCCTGAACAGTGACGTTAGCAATTTTTAATTAGTTTCCAACACTTGAAAAATTAGGAAATTTCACATAAAAATCAAACTTCCTAACTTCTGTCATAAGAAAAATATGGAAACATACAGTACCTTTGCATAGGACTACATACACTACCTAGCTCACTATAGTTTGCATCTGACTGCTACATTTATCTACATGCTTCTTAGAGACATCGGTTCACGAGTCCTACTCTAGTCTCAGTGGCAAGGCATAGCCAGTGCCTACCTTGCAGGATCAGATATTCCCAAAATAAATATTTATTATTTTGGAGATCAGGTTGGCTCTGTTGCCTAGACTGGAGTGCAATGGCGTGATCTCAGCTCACTGCAACTTCTGTCTTCTGGGCTCAAGTGACCCTCCCACCTCAGCCTCCCAAGTAGCTGGGACTACAGGCACATACCACATGCCTGGCTAATTTTTGTATTTTTTGTAGAGACAGGGTTTTGTCATGTTGCCCAGGCTGGTCTTGAACTCCTGAGCTCAAGTAATCCTCCCACCTCAGCCTCCCAAATTGCTGGCATTACAGGTATGAGGCACTGCACCCAGCCTGCAATAATATATTTTTTTCTCGTATCAAACCCAATTTTAAATTCCATCTTTTTGATAACTAGTAGTCATATTTTTAAATTTATGATCAGTTATTCATTTATCAAATATTTATTGGGGAGCTAGTATGTGCAAGGTGCTATGCTAGATCTGGGAATATTGAGACAAGCCAGATGTGGCCGCTGTCTTTGTGGAATTTAACTTGTAATTTAAAATCAGTGCCTACATTTTGAAATGATTTAAATTACCAAAAATAAAGTCTGAGCCGGGCATGGTGGCTCATGCTTGTAATCCTAGCACTTTGGGAGGCCAAGGCGGATGCATCACCTGGGGTCAGGAGTTCGAGACCAGCCTGGCCAACATGGTGAAACCCTGTCTCTACTAAAAAATTAGCCAGGCATGGTGGCAGGCACCTGTAATGCCAGCTACTTGGGAGGCTGAGGCAGGAGAATCACTTGAACCTGAGGGGCAGAGGTTGCAGTGAGCCGAGATCATGCCACTTTACTCCAGCCTGGGCAAAAGAGCCAAAGTCTGTCTCAAAAATAAATAAATAAATAAAGTCTGAGATTTACAGTTTTAAAATGAGTACTATTTAAATATTATGTTTTATTCTACAGTAAAGTTCTCAGTAGATTTTGTATCATTGACTATTAAAATTTTCTTACTGTTTTTCCCCCTTGCAGGAGAAATGCTCTCGTATGGAGACAGGCAAGAGGTGGAAATCAGAGGGTGCTCGCTTTGGTGTGTTGAGCTGATCCGGAATTGTCTTCTGGAGCTTATTGAACAAAAGGGTGAAAAACCTAATGGAGAGATCAACTCCATTCTTCTGGATTATTACTTATGGGACTATGCTCGTGACCATAGGGAAGATATGAAAGGAATTCCATTTCATCGCACACGTTGCATATATTATTAACCTCAAGTGTAAACTGATCCAAAGAAAACTCCTTGCATTTTTCTTTTCTCTTTTTTTTTTTTGGTGCTGTGATTCGGATAACCCCCTGCATTTTTATATCATATCATCTGTACAGTTTTGCTTTGACATTTAAAGAACATGATAGAGGTTATAGGAATGAGGAAATTGATTACCCATTCTTACTTTAAAAAATACTTCCTGGCCAGGCATGGTGGCTCGTGCCTGTAATCTCAACACTTTGGGAGGCCAAGGCAGGTAGATCACCCGATGTAGGGAGATCGAGACCATTTTGGCTAACATGGTGAAACCCCGTCTCTACTAAAAATACAAATAATTAGCCAGCCATGGTGTTACATGCCTGTAATCCCAGCACTCGGGAGGCTAAGGAGAATCTCTTGAACCCAGGAAGCGGAGGTTGCAGTGAGCTGAGATCGCGCCATTGCACTCCAGCCTGGGGAACAAGAACGAAACTCATGTCTCAAAAAAAAAAAAAAAAATTCCTTGGCCAGATGAAGTGGCTCGCACATATAATTCTAGCACTTTGGGAGGCTAAGGTGGGAGGATTGCTTGAGGAGAAGAGTTCAAGACCAGTCTAGGCAACACAGGGAGACCGGGAGACCCCCATCTCTACAAAAAGTTAAAAATTAGCCTAGTGTGGTGGCACATGCTGTAGTCCCGACTATGGTTTTCAGCTGAGGCTGAAAAGGGTGGATTGCTTGAGCCCCAGGGGTTTGAGGCTTCAGTGAGCCATGGCCATGCCACTGCACTCTACCCCGGGCAACAAAGGGAGACCCTGTCTCAGAACAAACCCACAGAAAGTTCCTGACATATCACTGTGTATTCCCAACTTTATCATTTTTCTGTCTGTTTAGTTTTGGCTTGTATTTTTATTTCCTGTGGACATGTAGTTGACAGAAATAAGGAACTTTAATATTTTCTTTAAATTTCCTAAAACTAATTATGCCTTATGTGACTAATCTTCAGTGATAATATTTTATCTATTGATATCTTTTCTTGAGGCGTAGTAATTTTCAGTATACCTTAATCATTTGGTATAAAAAAGAGGTTAGGTTTTTGATGTATGAATGCTGTCCTTTTAAAAATCAATCTTGACACTTTGAACTTTTTATTGGTAATGATAGTGGGTTTTGTACATCATGATTTTCAAGGTAGGACATCTGTTTGTCTAATTTTTTTTTTTTTTTTTTTTTTTTTTTTTTTTTTTTTTTTTTTTTTTTTTTTTTTTTTTTTTTTTTTTAATTTTTTTTTTTATTTTTTTTTTTTTTTTTTTTTTTTTTTGAGATGGAGTCTTGCTCTGTTGCCAGGCTAGAGTGCAGTGACACGATCTCGGCTCACTGCAACCTCCGCCTCCTGGGTTCAAGGGATTCTTCCGCCTCAGCCTCCTGAGTAGCTGGGACTACAGGCGCGCACCACCACGCCCAGCTATTTTTCTTGTATTTTTAGTAGAGATGGCGTTTCACCATGTTGGCCAGGATAGTCTCGATCTCTTGACCTCATCATCCGCCTGCCTCGGCTTCCCAAAGTGCTGGGATTACAGGCGTGAGCCACTGCGCCCGGCCCTAATTTGTTTTTTTAGAGTAACTTAATGGAATTGAATAAAAATATTCAATATTTTTCTTAAACCTGGAATAGATTATTTCATTAAAGTATAATTTACCATATATAATTTTTAAAAAACATACTGTAAGTTAGATTATTTACCTTCTGTTGCAGAACTCTCATTACCTGTCAAGCATTCATTTCCAACCACCACCCCCACATTCCTTCTAACATAATCTTGATTTTGTTAGACCTTGTTTGCTTGCTGTGACTTGAAAAAAAAGTAAGGAAAAGACACCCTTTTCCGAAGCAATGTACTGCCATCTGCTGGAAGCTTGTCATAATAACCTTACAAATAACAATATGAGTGAGGCCTCCTGGAGCTGCGCAGTACACAACTTGCACAAGCACAGTAGTGGTCCTGTGTCTATCCCTGTCCTGTGTGACTCGGGATGGTGATTCCATCCCCAGTTCTGGAGGTAGATCTTGTATGGTATGAATGGTTTACTACTCCTGGTCACCTTATTTTCCTTGCCTGTGATTGCTTTGGTAATGGGTATATAATCTAGTTCTGGCCAGTGACACTGGATAGCAAGTCTGCTGGGAAGCTTCTAGAAAAGGATTCTTCACTTTTAAGAAACAGATATAGGAAAAAGGTCCCTTTTCTTCCTCTGAGCAATGCTTTTAGCATAATACTTGATATTATGGTAGCTGTTTTATAGAGCTAGAGCCCAGCTGTACCTTCCATGCCTGAGCCCTATCCATGGACTTCATACTTGAGTTAATAAACACATTATAACTTGTACCAGAAAGCATCATAACAGTTTCCGAAGTAACCTCTGGGCCTCTGCTTTTGCCACCCCTCCTGCACCTCTCCCTGTCTTCCCTTCCCTCTTTCCCTCTTCTCTCTTTACTTCTCTGCCCTCTTCCTTCTTCCCCTTTTCCCCTCCCCCTTCTTTATCCTCTACTCTTACTTCACTCTTTATTTCTCTCTCTCTCTCTCTTTTTTTTTTGAGATGGAGTTTCACTCTTGTCGCTTAGGCTGGAGTGCAATGACATGATCTCGGCTCACTGCAACCTCTGCGTCCTGGGTTCAAGCAATTCTCCTGCCTCAGCCTCTGAAGTATCTGGGATTATAGGCATGCACCACCATGCTCGGCTAATTTTTGTATTATTAGTAAAGATAGAGTTTCATCATGTCGGCCAGGTTGGTCTTGAAATCCTGACCTAAGGTGATCCACCTGCCTTCCAAAGTGCTGGGATTACAGGGGTAAGCCACCACACCTGGACTTTTTTTTTTTTTTTTTTTTTTTTTTCTTAGAGATGGTCTCACTGTCACCCAGGCTGGAGTATAGTGGTGAGATCATAGCTCACTGTAACCTTGAACTCCTGGGCTCAAGCAATCCTCCCAAAGTGCTGGGCCTTGCAGGCGCATGCCACTACATCTGGCTAATTTTTTAAATTTTTTGTAGAGATGGGGTTTCACTATGTTGCCCAGGCTGGTCTCAAATGTCTGGGCTCAAGTGATCCTCCTGTCACTGGCCTCCCACAGCACCGAAATTACAGCTGTGAGCCATGGTTTCCTAGATCCACCTGGCCTTTTCTCTTCTGCCACTGAGCATAACCTGAACTCACAATCCTGGATGTCTACATTCTAATCTAGGCAGCAGGATTGAAGAAGTAATGAAGAAGAGTATAAAAGGGTTGAAGCTGGGTGCAGTGTCTGGCTCCTATGGTCAAAGCTACTGGGTGGTGGGGAGGAACTGAGGTAGGAGGATCCCTTGAACCTGGGAGTTCATGTCCAGCCTGGGCAACGTAGTGAGATATAGTCCCTTAAAAAAAAGTGTTGAAAGGCTCTGGTAGCCACTACATTCCATTTTGGCACATGACCACAACTAACTGCCAAGAAGGTTAGGGAAGTGGCATGTATTATGGGCACTGGGTACCAACTAAACTGTGTAAATAGAAATGGATGGGCCTGGACACAGTGGCTCATTCCTATGATCCCAGCACTTTAGGAAGCCAAAGCGGGGATGATCGCTTGAGCTTGGGAGGTCGAGGCTGCAGTGAGCAGTGATTGCCACTGTACTTCAGCCTGAGCAACAGAGTGAGACCCCAGTCTCAAAAGAAAAAAAAGTATGGATGGATACTGGGAAACAGCAAGAAGTTTTTGCCACCCAGTGCATAGATTTTATAATTTTCTTACCTGATACAGACTAAGAGCACTAAAATAACATTTTATCTAATGGCTTTAACAGTCATTGGTGATCATTTTTCAGATCTGTTATTTCATTAGGGATTACAAAATGGTAATGCTCTAGTCCTAACATTTTGGTTTTTGGGGATTTGTGTGGGGATAACATCCCTCGGATTTCAGGGTAGTCTGGGGGAACACAATTAACACGACATTCCAGAAGAGAATGGAATGTAGAATTAAGTTCTGAAAGTGTTTTCAGTTGTGTTGATTCATTCTGCACACGCTTTTAAAGATAATGAAAATGTGCACAGCCTCCTGAAACTCCCTGGCACAGCCCTCCATTCAGAGAAGTCCTTTCTAATTCCTTGGTGACTCAGTTTCCTTTAGTAGCCTTTGATTTGCCACCAGTTATAAAATGTTTTGCATATAAATTTCAATTATTTTTCTTCAGTGGCCTCCTAATGATTTGCGTCCCTCTGCAAACTCAAGTTGTTTAGCCAAGGCACCTTGTCAATGCCTTCCAACCCAAGTAAACAGGCTAGATGTATTACTTGTAGCATGGGGTGTCTCAGTAGGAGGATTATTTGGGGCAGGGTCTAAGGAAACTGTTCTGTTGAGATTGGATACTGTGAGAAGGCAGGATCAATTCTACCACTGGCTGCTCTACCATTGGCTGCCTCAAATTTTATCTATAGGGAGGGCAGACGAGAGCAAGGATAAAGCTGTCATTTGTAAAGACGTTAGCAGTCACTCATTTTAGTAGAGATAGGATGTTTGGGCACTTTGTTTGGCACAGTGGTCTTGTACGTGCCTGTGCTTAGGCAAAATTCTGAAGTGGCCTTATTTAGGCTTACTTTATCAGGGTCTCTGAGTAACCTTTCTGATGTTAGTGTTCTGTGAGATTATGTCCAACAGAAGACTAACATGCAGACTAAGCTGTGGGTGCCAGGCCAGCTTTTTATCAGGGGCTGCTTTTTTTCCTTTCTTAACCTTAAACTTCCCACTGATTAGCACCAAAGCAAATTAATAGATTTCATTTCATTAAATTCAGAAATCCTATATTGAGCTTCCTCAGAGTGCCCCCTCCCCTGAAGTTGAATGGATAATGGCTTAATAATCTTGTTGGCACCCCAGTCTGCCCCAGATGCAGATTTAATGACTGTATATGACTTAGGGAATCAGCTTTGAGGCAACTAGACCTTGCTTTTCCTTGCAACTCTGTGACTCATCTTGCTTTAGGTGTGCTTGGACTTTTTTTTTTTTGCTTTAGTTTAAAATTTCCAGCTTTTTGGTGGGTGCTATAGTCAAATACAAAACCTGAACAAGTAAGGGAATTGATCTTATTCAGGCTATTACAATAGGAAAAGCATTCCAAATCCAAAGATCAGAGTTTC